ATTGACAATGAAAATGACGATGACGATGATGATAATGATGATGACGATAAATAAAATTGAAACATAATAAATGCATAATTCATCGCGTCAAACAGAATGGATGACTGGAAAAAGTGATCAATTTCCATAGTATGTAAAATCATGTAAAGATGCCGTAAGTTTAAATTTTATACACTTAATGACTGTTCCCAAGGGAAACGGTTAGTTTTGTTTCCCTCGAATCTCAATGTTTCCCGAGGTACTAAAAAATGGCTAAGCGTTCAACAATCGCCAAACTGTTGACCGATCAGTCAACAGTTGATTTTAGCTCCGGACACGTGACACCGAATCGTCCAATAAGAGAGCGAGAAAACAGTGAAAATAATTTACCAATATAACAAACACGATTGTCCCCCATTTACAGGGTTTCGTAATTTACTTGATTTTCCCATGATCTGTGTTAATTAATAAACTTACGTAGTGTTTAAAATTCCTGTAAATCGAAAATTCTATGACTTTTACATACTATGGAAATTGCTCACTTTTTCCAGTGGATATTTTTAAATGATAATGATAATTTTATCGCCATGATAGCTTCACATAGTAAAATATGSTCGTTTAACTTACCCCATCCAATCAGACAGTATGTGATTCGTTTATCGTAGCGAGAGAAAAYTGCGACGAGTTTGAAGTACAGAAGAACGGCTCCTGCCAACATCCAGGTGAAGATTGTCGTTTGACAATAATGTTGAACAACTGCAAGAGCTGAACAAACGCCCTAAAGAAAAGAATGATCCAGTTTCTTTGATGATAAACCGAGGGGAAGGGGCATACCAGGAAAGGTAGATAGCTTACATATAATTAATTGGTGAWTACAATAGTATTTTAGATACCAAGCTCACTTTTTGTAAAAGAGAATAGAGTGGMTATGCGGTTGCACAATTCGCCTTCGGTTGTATAAYTAGCGCTTWTGTTCCAAATATAAATTCTTGGAATGTTGACCGGTGTTCATCCTATGCTTACAACCATCACTGAGAAATTTTTCTGTTATCCTTTACGAGTTTGCAAGRTTTCWTGTGATTGRAGGAATAAAACAATGCTTACATTGTTTCGCCGTTCTTAAATCGTATTATTTATTTTATTTGACGAATAGCTATAACCAATCTGATATACTGAYATCTTGMAWAACCGTKAAGGCCKACCCAAATGTTTCGTAACTCACCGGGTAGTCATTCTTTTCTGTGAAAGCCACGTCAACCATGTAAACCACGTGAGCCATACAAAGACWCAACATTAGTCTTTTGTGCACAAATAATTTYGACGATTTTTTAACTCTAATATTGATACAGAGAAAATAAGTAATGTTATAAATATACATTTAAAAGGAACATTTAATATTCTTTGACTAAAATAATGACATTCATGTCTTTTGCTCTTTAGCAAATTTGCATAGGCCTGTGAAGATTTTGCGTGACACAATTCAAGTTTTAATATCTCAAGAACGAGAATTAATATAAACTTATTTTTTGCTCTTATGTCTTTATATAACACGTATAGCTTAAATCACCATTTAACACATATTCCAGATTTTATATTTTTGTGACGTCACATTAAATCSAAGGATAAYGACGTCTTRGAGATCATGTTGATGTAACTCCTTGGAATATGATTCCATGATATCAAGCATTTTTTGTCCTGTCTTTCAGACGAAACTACTTAATGGTGTGGGTTTTTTTTTCAGGGTGGGCTGGGGTATGTGTTCATGTTCGATGAATGTATATATTCTGTGTAGCGCGTAGCATAGTCAATCTCCGCTCGGCCCTCCCCCGGGCCGATCTATAGTTCTCACTATAAAGCCATACTTACTTTAAACATGACARCAATATAATTGACATCACCATAGCAACTATCGAAACTGTCATCAAACCAATTTCCAGGAATTTCTGCTTATTGTTAAGTCTTGGATATTCCGGCATCAAAGTTAATTTGACTACCGTGGAAGTCGTCGAATTTTGGGAACTATTTATCTGTTAAACAATGGATTTATCAGCAGAMATAACAAGAAATTATGATATTCATCAGTTTATCCATATCCATAGGCCTTTTCTGAAATAGCATGACGCTTTGCATCGTGGTCTAGATTCGGTACAAACATCTTTTGTTCATGTGGCCAACTATGGTGTTGTTTGTACTGAAACTAGACCACAATGCACCATGATTTCTTATCTCAGAAAAGGTCTATGGAACATAAATCTTGTGTTCGCTCTGGTTGGCCGAAAAATTTGAGTAGTTTCTTTCGTACACTCAAGATCTGGACATTTTGGAAACTCATATCGGCAACATTATCGAATTATGAAAGCCAAAGTCTGGCTGAGCTTATAATAGCAAA